CTAAAGGAACTTCTCTAAGTGGGGAACACAAGAGAAGAAAAGGACCTACAAAAACAAACCCAAAACAATTAAGAAAATGGTAATAGGAACATACATATCAATAATTACCTCAAATGTGAATGGATTACATGTTCCAACCAAAAGACACAGGCTCCTAAATGGATACAAAAACAAGACCCTTATATATGCTGTATACAAGCGAACCACTTCAAACCTAGGGACAAATACAGACTGAAAGTGAGGGGATGGAAAAAGATATTCCATGCAAATGGAAATCACAAGAAAGCTGGAGTACCAATATTCATACCAGACAAAATAGACTTTAAAATAAAGAATGTTACAAGAGACAAGGAAGGACATTACAAAATGATCAAGGGAACAATCCAACAAGAAAATATAACAATTATAAATATATATGCGCCCAACATAGGAGCACCTCAATACATAAGACAAATGCTAACAGCTATAAAAGAGGAAATCAACAGTAACACAGGAATAGTGGGGGACTTTAACACCTCACTTACACCAATGGACAGATCATCCAGACAGAAAATTAATAAGGAAACACAAGCTCTAAATGACACAACAGACCAGATAGATTTAGTTGATATTTATAGGACATTCAATCTGAAAACAGCAGATTACATTTTCTTCTCAAGTGCACACAGAACATTCTCCAGGATAGATCACATCTTGGGTCACAAATCAAGCCTCAGTAAATTTAAGAAAATTGAAATCATATAAAGCATCTTTTCCAACCACAACACTATGAGATTAGAAATAAATTACAGGGAAAAAAATGTAAAAAACACAAACACATGAAAGCTAAACAATACGTAACTAAATAAGCAAGAGATCACTGAAGAAATCAAAGAGGAAATTAAAAAATACCTAGAAACAAATAACAATGAAAACACTATGGTCCAAAACCTATGGGAGGCAGCAAAAGCAGTTCTAAGAGGGAAGTCTACAGCAATACAATCCTACCTCAAGAAACAAGAAAAATCTCCAATAAACAATCTAACCTTACACCTAAAGGAACTAGAGAAAGAAGAACAAACAAAACCCAAAGTTAGTAGAAGGAAAGAAATCATAAAGATCAGAGCAGAAGTAAATGAAATAGAAACAAAGAAAACAATAGCAAAGATCAATAACACTAAAAGATTGTTCTTTGAGAAGATAAACAAAATATGTAAACCTTTAGTCAGACTCATCAGAAAAAGAGGGAGAGGATTCAAATCAAAAAATCAGAAACGAAAAAGGAGAAGTTACAACAGACACTGCAGAAATACAAAGCATCCTAAGAGACTACTACAAGCAACTCTATGCCAATAAAATGGACAACCTGGAAGAAATGGACAAATTCTTAGAAAGGTATAACCTTCCAAGACTGAACCAGGAAGAAATAGAAAATATGAACAGACCAATCACAAGTAATGAAATTGACACTGTGATTAAAAATCTTCCAGCAAACAAAAGTCCAAGACCAGATGGCTTCACAGGTGAATTCTATCAAACATTTAGAGAAGAGCTAACACCCATCTTTCTCAAACTCTTCCAAAACTTGCAGAGGAAAAAAACAGAAGAAAAAAAAATTGCAGAGGAAGGAACACTCCCAAACTCGTTATACGAGGCCACCATCACCTTGATACTAAACCAGACAAAGATACCACAAAAAAAGAAAATTACAGACCAATATTGCTGATGAATATAGATGCAAAAATCCTCAACAAAATACTAGGAAACAGAATCCAACAACACTTTAAAAGGATCATACACCATGATCAAGTGGGATTTATCCCAGGGATGCAAGGATTCTTCCATATATGCCAATCAATCAATGTGATACACCATTTCAATTAACAATTGAAAAATAAAAACCATATGATCATCTCAATAGATGCCGAAAAGCTTTTAAGAAAATTCAACACCCATTTATGATAAAAACTCTCCAGGAAGTGGGCAAAGAGGGAAGCTACCTCAACATAATAAAGGCCATATACGACAGACCCACAGCAAACATCATTCTCAATGGTGAAGAACTGAAAGCATTTCATCTAAGATCAGGAACAAGACAAGGATGTCCACTCTCACCACTATTACTCAACATAGTTTTGGAAGTCCTAGCCACGGCAATCAGAGAGGAAAAAGAAATAAAAGGAATCCAAACTGGAAAAGAAGAAGTAAAACTGTCACTGTTTGCAGATGACATGATACTATACATAAAGAATCCTAACGATGCCACCAGAAAACTACTAGAGCCTATCAATGAATCTGGTAAAGTTGCAGCATACAAAATTAATGCACAGAAATCTCTTGCATTCCTATACACTAACAACAAAAGATCAGAAAGAGAAATTAAGGAAACAATCCCATTCACCATTGCAACAAAAAGAATAAAATACCTAGAAATAAACCTACCTGAGGAGGTAAAAGACTTATACTCAGAAAACTATAAGACACTGATGAAAGAAATCAAAGATGACACAAACAGATGGAGAGATACACCATGTTGTTGGATTGGAAGAATAAATATTGTGAAAATGACTATACTACCCAAAGCAATCTACAGATTCGATGCAATCCCTATCAAATTACCAATGGCATTTTTTACAGAACTAGAACAAAAAATCTTAAAATTTGTATGGAGGAACAAAAGACCCCAAATAGCCAAAGCAATCTTGAGGGGAAAAAAATGGAGCTGGATGAATCAGACTTCCTGAGTTCAGACTATACTATAAAGCTACACTAATTAACACAATATGGTACTGGCACAAAAACAGAAATATAGATCGATGGAACAGCATAGAAAAGTCCAGAGATAAACCCACGCACCTATGGTCAACTAATCTATGACAAAGGAGGCAAAGATATACAATGGAGAAAAGACAGTCTCTTCAATAAGTCGTGCTGGGAAAACTGGACAGCTACATGTAAAAGAATGAAATTAGACCACTCCCTGACACCATACACAAAAATATACTCAAAATAGATTAAAGCCCTAAATGTAAGACCAGACACTATAAGACTCTTAGAGGAAAACATAGGAAGAACACTCTTTGACATAAGTCACAGCAAGACCTTTTTTGACCTACCTCCTAGAGTAACAGAAATATAAAATAAACAAATGGGACCTAATGAAACTTAAAAGCTTTTGCACAGCAAAGGAAACTATAAACAAGATGAAAAGACAACCCTCAGAATGGGAGAAAATATTTGCAAATGAATCAACAGACAAAGGATTAATCTCCAAAGTATATAAACAGCTCATGCAGCTCAATATTAAAAAAACAAACAACCCAATCAAAACATGGTCCAAAGATCTAAATAGACATTTCTCCAAACAAGACATACAGATGGCCAAGAAGCACATGAAAAGCTGCTCAACATCACTAATCATTAGAGAAATGCAAATCAAAACTACAATGAGGTATCACCTCACACCAGTTAGAATGGGCATCATCAGAAAATCTACAAACAACAAATGCTGGAGAGGGTGTGGAGAAAAGGGAACCCTCTTGCACAGTTGGTGGGAATGTAAATTGATACAGCCACTATGGAGAACAGTATGGAGGCTCCTAATAAACTGAAAATAGAATTACCATATGACCCAGCAACCCCACTCCTGAGAAAACAGTAATTCAAAAAGACACATGCTGGGAGGGAGACGCAAGAGGGAGGAGATATGGGGACATATGTATACATATAGCTGATTCACTTTGTAATGCAACAGAAACTAACACAACATTGTAAAGAAATTATACTCCAATAAAGATGTTAAAAAAAAAAAGACACATGCACCCCAATGTTCATTGCAGCACTATTTACAATAGTGAGGTCATAGAAGCAACCTAAATGCCCATCGACAGACGAATGGATAAAGAAGTTGTGGTACATATATACAATGGAATATTAGCCACAAAAAGGAATGAAATTGGATTATTTGTAGAGACATGGATGGACCTAGAGACTGTCATACAGAGTTAAGTTAGTCAGAAGGAGAAAAACAAATGTCATATATTAACGCATATACATGGAATCTAGAAAAATGGTACAGATGAACCGGTTTGCAAGGCAGAAATAGAGAGACACAGATGTAGAGAACAAACATGTGGACACCAAGGGGGAAAAGCGGGGGGTTGGGAGGGAGGGATGAATTGGGAGATTAGGATTGACATATATACACTAATATGTATAAAATAGATAACTAATAAGGACCTGCTGTATAAAAATAAAATGAAATTCAAAACAAAAGAGCTTACAAATAAAAATGAAATGACTAAGGAATAGGTGATTAGTTTATATAACACTAGATGTTCATATATTTCTTGGTTTGTAAGTTTTCTGCAGGTTAACACGATTTTTCACTCCCTCAATATACTGCAAATTCCTGATTCAATGGGGACTGTAATTATTTATAACCATTATATTCAACCAAAATAGAAAGCACTCCATAATTACCTAAAGCTCTTTGCAATGTCATTCAGAATTGTGCAAGTCCATCTCCTAGTACTTTCTCAAGAGTCTTCAGTTAAAATACAGTATGACAATGAGGGAAGACTCTAAGTGGCATTTCTCATGTAAGACAGCAAAGACACTTGACCACAACAGCCTCTTTCCAACATTAACAACTGGAATGCAGATCCTTTTCATTCAGAAGCTTTACTGATTACTGACTTATACTTGAAAAGGAACTAATGAAATTTCCTTTAGATACCTGAAGTAACACAAAGTTTCTTTTTTTTTTTTTTTTCAGTATGCGGGCCTCTCACTGCCGTGGCCTCTCCCATTGCGGAGCACAGGCTCCAGACGCGCAGGCTCAGTGGCCATGGCTCACGGGCCCAGCCACTCCGCGGCATGTGGGATCTTCCCGGACCGGGGCACGAACCCGTGTCCCCTGCATCGGTAGGCAGACTCTCAACCACCGCGCCACCAGGGAAGCCCCCACTTTTTTTCTCTTTTAATGTGTATTTTTGTAATGAAAAAATAGCTAAACTCACATTTTCCATTGTAATATCATTTGAGACATTCATCAGATTCACACTTTTGTCGACAGCTACAATCCCAACTATTGAGTCTGGCTGCGTCACAGAGATCATAAGAGAGACTCTCTCAGATGGTCCAGCGTTGGCTTTACTCCAAAATAGCTGTATCTAAGAAAGGGAGAAAACAGGATTGATACATTACACTTTTTCAAAGCATTTCTTACATCTTACCAATAGCAGATCAATGACAAAATCTAGCAAAGATTCTACATTTGCCTTGGCCCCGGGGACCATTCTAAAACCATACACAAGCCTTCTCCAGGGAAAGGAGTAAAAAGAAACCTCAGCCCCACAGTGTTTGCCAGTCACGGAACCTCTCACTGTGGCATAAATCAGAGTTTTCCTTCACTCCTCTACCCTTTCTCTACCTCCCACCCCACAGCCGCCAGCCAGTGCTGAAGAGAAGACACTGTCTGGCATACGTGAAGAGGGCCAGTATCCAAGAGGCCGGACAGGTAAGAGGAAAGAAACTGCCAGTGCCTGCACAGGCCTCCTGGACTCAGAAGTGAGTGCGTGCAAGTAAGAGCCCCGGGGACTCCCAGAACTGGCTGGGCTGGGCAAGGGTGTCTTTCCCCAGGTCGAGGCCATCAGACCGACACCAGTCAGGCCCCATGCTCTGTGCCTCCGTGGCTGCCTGAACTTCCTCTCTTATTACACTCAGCAAAGCACAGTCCTATCGGTACTTCTTAAAGAGCAACCATCCTTTCATCCCGGCTGAATCCAGTGGCTTGGTTATAAGGCCTCTTCCTACTAGGAATGTTCATCTTGCCCAGCTCTGTTTCAACAATCCCTCGCCCCAGTGACTGTACCACCTGATCAAGATGGCCTTCATGTCCCCCTCAGCTTGCCTGAACTTTAGAAACAGGCTTCTTCCTGACACTAAGCACCTAATTTCCCTTTCCTTAAAAAATCTGCAATTGTTAATGTTTTCTCTGTCCCTTTGAGATGTGAATCCTCTTCCTGCTTCCTGCCAATTTTACC